CACTAGGAGCAGGACAGCAGCACTCAGAGCAGCAAGACTGCAAGCTCAGCATACATACATGACATCCGGGCTGTTTGCTGTTGTCACCAGCACGTAGAGGTCAAACACAATTTCGAGGTAGTTCCTGAAATATGGCAAGCCTTCTGCTGTCTGGAGATTCCTGGGAGGAAAAGGACAAGCTGAAGTTAAGCACAGAGCCCCCATGTCCTGCACAGGAATTGCATGTATGGGCAATGATTGTATTCAACTAGTTGGAGTTGCCAGATTCCCTCCTGCCCGAAAGGATCACACACGTCCTTCCCACCCAGGGGAAGGCAAAAGGAGGGTTCTCACCTCTCACCAAACAGCTTCAAGGCCATGAGGGAGAACATGAGAAGGCTAAACATGAAGAGCAGGAAGACGTAGGTGATCTCTGGCAGCGTGTTGCGGATGCTGCGGAAGGCTCTCCGGATCTGACAGGGAGAAGGGAAGTGTTTAGAGGCAAAGTGGTACCTGCTTATCCCCTCACCACCCCATCTGGATCAAGCCCCTACATAGGGACAGGCAAAGTAGGACACTGATAGCAGATGTGCCAGCTCTGTTCTATTAAAATCTATGTGAGACCACCAGGCCTTTCCTCCTTATGCCCCAGAGGAGATACTAGAATGAGAGACCTCACCTCTCGAGACAAGCCATCAGAAACTCAGCTCTCACTGCAGGAGAATGGTCAGGGACAGAAGCCCATCACTCCAGGCCACAAAACACATACTGATGAGACCCAGAGTCCCACTGCACCCTCCCCACCACACTAGTGTATTCATTTGTAACTCAGGAGCAGAACTGCCTTGGGCAGCGGGGCAAAGAGGAACAAGTGTCCCTGTGACAGAAGGAATCAGAGTCCAAATCCCCCTGCTGCACCAGACATCCAGTGTGCAAGAACAGCCTGACACTGTGCTGTTCGCCCACAAATAAGTAACCTGGCCCCTGACCCAGGGAGAAGCAGTTCTTGTCTGTGGTGCTGCTCATGTGCACACTCCTGAGGACAGCTTCTAACTCTTCTCCTCCACCCAGGCTGGACTAAACACAGCCCTGTGCTGACTGTACACGAAATGTTCCAGCCCCAAGCACACTCGAGGCTCCGGACAGCCATAACCCAGCCCGCAGGTACAAGGAGAAGCCTTCTGCACAGCACCCAAGCAGCACCAGCACTAACATACCCTTTTATCCATCTCATATTATTGCTTCAGGCCACCTCCGAGAGAAACCTTGGCTCACAGGACCCTCTATTCTGCCATTCCTGCACAAACCCCCTTTTACTACATCCCCTGGATCTCAGAAAGCAGCCGACTGTCCCAGAACAGGGCCCTGACCAGAGGTACATCCCACCAGAGCTCCTCCTTACCTGGCGGCTCTCTGCAAAGTTCACGAGGAAGATGGGCCTCACGATTCTTGACCATCGAATGCTCCTCACGTTGTATATCCTGAGGACCCCATATATGGCCAGGTCTGCCAGGGATAACTGGAAAAAAAGGAGGAAAATTCCCAGTAGTAATGCTGGAAATGGGTCTAGAGGGTGACGACAACAGGGTGAAGACAGCAGGGTGAGCTGATACAGCATAGACGCACACACAACAGGGTTGTGGGCCCAAGGGATGATCGATCAGAGCCGGTGTACATCAGGCCTATGCTACCAGGAGAGCAACAGGAGGGACAAGTCACCTCCACATTGTCTGCTTCAACCTTGTGGGCTCCCTAGGCCGGACTCACCAGGATTGCAACCATGATGCAGATGTTCTTGGTGTCCTTCCAGAACACACTGCGAGGGGTGACCTTTGCAAAATGGGTCAGGCGGCCAAAGAACACCAGAAGGCACAGCACCTCGACCACTGAAGTGACCTGCAGGGAGACAAGGGGCCAAGGCAGGGCAACCAAAAGCAGCATTAGCCCTCTTTGCACAGATGGGACGTTCAAGCTGGGGTACAGGCAAAGAAAAACCACAGCTGGAGTCAGTAGAAGAGTTTTCCAATGGGTTTTGCTGTTGGGGGTTTCAGAGCCTCACACATCTGGCACTGAGCAACAGTTCCAGGCTTCCTTTTGTGACATTCCCTGCCACAGGCAGGTTAATCCAGTAGTTTGTGTTTGCTTAGGATTCAAGGAGCACACCTCTCACAAGCACAACAGTGCACAACAAATAAAGGCTATAAAAAGTCAGTCCCAAGTGCAACACTTCACTTCTGCTTTCAGACATGAGGACAGGATCCGGGTCACGTGCAAGGCTCCAAGATACAGAAAAGCAACATCACTTTGCAGTCATGTCAGCTACTCCTGACAGCGACAATGGTTCCCATAGTCCCTGCCTGGCTCCCATAGTGCCTGCCTAGCTCCTATACCCCTTTTTTATCCCCATTTCAGTAGATTAAAGATAAAAGAAATACCAGCATCAGTTATCTCTTGACACACCTCTGACAACCAGTTTCAAGCAAGAAACCCTTGCTTGCTCTACCAAGCAGCACAGTACTATTGCATTGCTGCTTCTACACTGAGAACTTACCAGGAAAGGGAGAGGATACACAGCAGGTTCTTCAAACAATGCAAGGGACAGGTTGAGAAAGATGAAGAAGTAGGTGGCTGTTCGCATAATCCAGTGGTTATAGAGGTAATAAAGCCTGTAGAAGGAGGGCAGAGGCACCATAAATAAAGGCTTCAGTGCACATAGCCGTGGGCTCACTAAGTGCACCCTGGAAGGACAGCACACGCTGTCCCAGGCAGTCACAGAGGACGAGGGGGAACAGCAGCACAGGTTTTGCCAGCCAGGGGTTTGGCAACTCATTTCCTATCACTTCCTTACAGTCTCATGGCTGATGGATGCTACATGCGCTCTCAGGGAGCAGACACAGCAGGAAGGTGGAATACAGGTACCCCTCAGTTCAGTTTAAGGCTGCAACATGTGGATTTGGTAAAGCTGCTTCCTTTCTGCAATTACCTTGTTCCTCGGTTTGAGTGCAAACTCCTGCCAGGCTCAGGTATCCCCAGGACAGACCAACTAAGCCTGAATAGGTATCTCACATCATTTCTTTGCAGGTTAAAGAGCAAGGAGATAAGAAAAGCCACCAGAGACAAGTATGGGGCTGCACAGTAAGCTGGCTTTATACACAACTCCTGCAGCATTCCAGCCCCTACAGCAGGCAAACCTCCACTGAACACCAGGAGTGACCTTGAGGAGGTATCACACAGCTGCACGTGACAGTGGCTCCCCTGGGTAGGAAGGTGCTTTGCCAAGAAAAGAGCTGCCAACACTGCCAAAGGGTTATCTCACCTGCTAAATAACCACCTGCAGGAAGGCTACAGGGCAGGGGATCACACACACGACATGGTATTATGCCCTTAACACCATCAAGACACCACTATGCAAAACCTGATCATTTCTATCTGTTATACCAAGCATACTTGGCCAAGATGATGCACACAGGCATTACAGTGACACAACAGCACAGACCCACTCAAATCCTCTGTAACAAACATCCTTAAGCATACCTGTGTTCCAAGACACCCAAGAAACTTCACTGGCTCAGACATAAGACAACATAAAAGGGAAGGGTTATTTGGGGAGGGCTACAGGAGCCATTAATGCTCACTCACTGCTTTGCTGCCAGTCTGTTGTATGCCCTTTCCCCTCTACACCAGCCACTTTCTCTTACATTTTACACACAGCAACAGTTTGCCTAAAGCAAAAGTCACTTCTTTGAAGCTGCTCAGTCTCTCAGCAGCAACTAAGAGTCACCATCCCAGGCAAAACGCTCCTGACTTGGGCAGTTTCACTTAGCACCAATTAACATAAGCTTTTAATTACTCCTGCCCCTAGCAGCTACCACCCTTTTGAAGCACACCATGGGCTGCCATGACGAGCTGAGGTTTTGCTGTGCAGTGAGTTGATGTCACCCACTGCCAAGCCAAGGGGTAACAGCCATGACTGCCTGGCATGAGGCATCTCCTGTACCCCTGGCACTCACACCCAGCATCTCCTCTCACACAGGGGGGGCTGACCCAGCTTCTCAACCTCCTCATCCCCACAGAGCACTCGCTACAGCTGCAGCCCTGGGAGATTTTGTTTGCTCTAGAAAAAAACCTAGTTCTTATTTCCTTTCCCATCCTCAACATGCAGATGCTCTGAGCCCCATCTGACCTCCTAAAAGGAGGATGGAGCCAGGAGGGGCTGGGCTCTGCTCCCAAGGAACAAGGGATGGGACAAGAGGAAACGGCCTCAAGCTGCACCAGGGCAGGTTTAGATGGAGCTGAGGAACAATTCCTGCCCCAGAGGGTGCTCAGGCATTGGAACAGGCTGCCCAGGGCAGGGCTGCAGTCACCGTCCCTGCAAGGGTTCACAGCCCGTGGAGACGAGGCCTCAGTGCCATGGGTTAGTGGTGGCCTTGGCAGTGCTGGACAATGGTTGGACTGGATGAGCTTAAAGGGCTTTTCCAACCTCATTGATTCTATTATTTCAGCCTTAAGTCCAGTTCTTCCTGTCCAGCCTCCTCAGCACCGAGCTGCTGAAGCCAGGGTCCCCAGCCTTTTTTTTGGCTGCTGCTCTTTGGACACAGTTATGGTTAGTTCTGTCTATGCCAGTTTGAGTGCCCCACAGCACCACACTGCCCCACCAGCACGGAGCCCTGCCGCGATGCGATGCTGTGGGTGTCTGTGGCATGCAGAGCTCCTTACCTGACCGCCTCCGGGGACGTCTTAAACGGGATATTTCGGTTGTACTGTGCATCGGACACAAACGCTGCTGCCAGCAGGAGATCCTGTGGAAAGGGGGAAAACACAGACACAGCTCAGGCGGTGCTGGAGCTTGAATTAAACTCCGAGCGGACGTTCAAAGGAGGCTTTTCAGCCCAGGGCACGAGCAGCGGCATTCAAGGGAGATGCTTTTCTCCCCAGGGCTCTCTATAGAGGCGAGAAGCGGTATTGTAAAGGCGGTGCTTCTCGCCCTAGGACGCTCTATAGATGCGAGAAGCGGTGAGGGGATGCCGCAGCTCCGCACTCCCGCATCCCCCTCCTGTTACCAGGGTCCCATCACCCCCAACCCTCCCAGGGACCGCGCCGGTCCCCCGCTACCTGCGAGGCGGCCTCCGCCATGGCGCGACAATCACTGCGCCCCCTCCCCGCCGCCTTTAACGGGCCCGCCCCGGCGGAAGCGGGAGGCGGAGCCGGAGCCGGGCTCGGGGATGGCGCTGGAGGCGCTGCGGCCGCGGGCCGTGCGCTGGGCGCTGCTGGCCGCCTTCGCCGCCGGTGTGCTGGTGGGGTGGCAGGCGGGACGCGCCCGCCGCCGCTTCCTGCGCTGGCGCCAGCGCTGGCTCCAGCGCCGCCTCGCAGCCGCGCAGGAGCAGCTGGAGGCGGCCTGAGCCGCGCGGAAACCCCGGCCCCGGAGCACGGCCCCGGCCGCGCTCGCTGCCCTGGAGCGGGGCTGCAGCTCGGCGCGGAGCTCCGGGTGCCTGCGGCAGCCTCGCTGGATGCCGCCTGAGGGAACCGGGTTCACCGCACGCTGATGCCAGAGGGGAACGCACGTGGAAGCGGTGCTGGGAACGGACGGCGTCCATGATCCTGACTGCCTCAGACCGCCGAGGATGCAGGAACGCCGTCGCCACATTTCCCTTTCTCAAAGGACACTGTGCGTTTGCCTTGCTCCAAGCCTGTTGCAGTTCTGCCCGCTCCAAAGGGTGCTGCCGAAGCGTTAAACTACCGACAGCCACCACGTGGGGGGCCTGGATGTGTTTGCTCGTCTGGAAACGTTCCTTGCGGGCGCTCGTAACGAGGGAGGCACCGCACTGAATGACAGATCTCGTTCTGGGAGTACACATAGGAAGTAAAACCTGCGGGACGATCGGCTGCGCGCGTTGATCGGGTGAATGAGCAAATTAAATGAAGGCTGCTCGTGCTTTGGACTCTCTTTCTTCTACGGCTTCGGGAAGGGAAATGTCCAGAGAGGGCTGTAGTGCATTCCTGCTTCCCATCACTAGTGAATTCCAGAAGCGTTTCCTTGTGTCTGATAGGAGGGGGTGCTCCTGTTTTGCGCTGGAGGATTCGCTGCACACTGCAGGCTGCTGGCTTTAGCTGTGGGGCTGAACAGAGAGAGGTAAAAGTTATGGGGGAAAAGAGCCAAACCACTGCCCAGCTGCTGGTGCCATTGTCTGCCTATGGGTGCCATTTGGTAGAGGCAGGGGGAATGATTACCAGTGAGAAGCGTGTGCATCGTCCAGAAGCTGACATGTCACAGCCTTACAGGTTGTTATGTGGAGGGCAGGAACAGGGCTCTCCTGAGAGATGGCTGCAGGACACTTGTCAATCAGAATTATGGAATCAACCAGGCTGGAAAAGCCCTTCAAGCTCATCCAGTCCAACCATTCCCAGCACTGCCAAGGCCACCACTAACCCATGGCACTGAGGCCTCGTCTCCACGGGCTGTGAACCCTTGCAGGGACGGTGACTGCAGCCCTGCCCTGGGCAGCCTGTTCCAATGCCTGAGCACCCTCTGGGGCAGGAATTGTTCCTCAGCTCCATCTAAACCTGCCCTGGGGCAGCTTGAGGCCGTTTCCTCTTGTCCCATCCCTTGTTCCTTGGGAGCAGAGCCCAGCCCCTCCTGGCTCCATCCTCCTGTCAGGCACTTGTAGGGAGCCATCAGGTCCCCCCTGAGCCTTCTCTTCTCCACACTGAACCCCCCAGGTCCCTCAGCCCTTCCCCATCACCCCTGTGCTCCAGGCCCTGCACCAGCTCCATTCCCTTCTCTGTCCCCACTCCAGCCCCTCAATGTCTCTCTCGCAGTGAGGGCTCCAGAACTGAACACAGGATTCGAGGTGCAGCCTCACCAGTGCCCAGCACAGGGGCACAATCCCTGCCCTGGCCCTGCTGCCGCACTGGTGCTGATCCAGGCCAGGATGCTGGGGGCTTCCTGGCTGCCTGGGCACGAGCTGCTCATGTTCAGCTCCATCACTCAGCACCCCCAGCTCCTGTTCATGGGCAGGCCCGGGCCGTGCCTGGGGGCTCCGCTGCCGGCCGAGGCCGCTCCGGCTCCCGTGCCCCGCGCTCGCCCCTCAGCGCCTACGACTCCCGACGTGCCTCCCGCCCAGGAAGTGACGGCATCGCTCCGCGCCGCCGCGCCCGTTGCCTGGCAACCATGTCTGCGCGGGGGGCGCGGGGCCCGCTGCAGCGGGTGCAGCGGCGGAGCCGGGAGCTGCGGGAGCAGGTACCGGGGTGGGAGCGAGCAGCACGGCCCGGCCGGGGCTCGGCCCCGCGCCTCACGGCCCCGCTCCTGTGTTGCAGGTGGAGGCGCTGCGGGAGGAGTGCGCGGCCCCGGCCCCCGGGCAGCGGGAGGCCCTTTCGCTGAGGTGAGGCGGTGCCCGGCGGGGGCTGCGGGACCCGGCCTCGGCCTTCCCCCGGTCTATAGCGGCGTGCCGCGGACGGGGTGCGTGGCCTGAGACCGTGTGCTGGAGAGAAACATCTCCTGGCCACCCTGCGCTGAGGCCTGGCAAATCCAGAGCAGCTCCAGTGCCTGAGGAGGCCTGCAAGGATGCTGGAGAGGGACTCTTCATCGGGGCCTGTAGGGACAGGACGAGGGGTGATGGGTTCAAACAAACAAGGGAAGTTCAGGCTGGAGATAAGGCAGAAGCTCTTCCCTGTGAGGGTGCTGAGGCGCTGGCACAGGGTGCCCAGAGAAGCTGTGGCTGCCCCATCCCTGGCAGTGTTCAAGGCCAGGTTGGACAGAGCCCTGGGCAACACAGTCTAGTTTGAGGCATCCCTGCCCATAGCAAGGGGTTGGAACTGGATGATCTTAAGGTCCTTTCCAACCCAAACCATTCCATGATTCCCATCACCTTTGCACCAGGAGAAGGAGCAGACGGTTCCCTGCACACACCTTTCCATTTTCCTCCTAATTCCACATCTCTCTTCCCAGCCCCGTCTCACTCGTCTGTTTTCCAGGCAGAAGCAACAGGCTGGCTGCTTCCTCAAGGGCTGAGGTAGTTTTAAGTGGGAACTTGCACATCACAGGTAATAGTCATCACCTCAGCTGATGCTTGCGCTTGTGCTGCCATTCACAAGCTGTGTGTGCATGGAACTGGGTGAAGTTGTGAGTAAACTGGTATGTTTCAGCGAGAATTGAAGAAAACACCATCTCTCTGCTTTGCTTGCAATGCAGATGCATGCAGCTGAAGGAACTGGTGGATGAGAACACAAATGCTCTTCGTGGCCTGAAAAAAGTGAGTACGGAGGTGAATTTATTAATGGTTTTCACCCGGATTCATCGTGGGGAGTGTTTAGAGAACATCAGCCTCCATTGAGATGGGTCAGGACAAGACCAGTGCCAAGCACCACGCAATCCCTGACTGGGATCTCTGAGATCCATTTATACACTTAATAAATGGGGAAGCAGGATGTCACTGGGTGGGGAGGGAGAGCAGCCCAGGAGGGTTGCTTGGAAAGCAAGTCTGGAACATTCACTTTGAAGGGGACTTTGATTCTTGAAGTGATTGGTTGTGTTGATCACACAACCATGGACATGGAACTGTTGGAACAAGTCCAGAGGCCACGAGGATGCTCAGGGCCTGGAGCAACTCCTGTATAGAGACAGGCTGAGAAAGTTGGGGCTGTTCAGCCTGGAGAAGAGAAGCTGCGTGGAGACCTCAGAGCAGCTTCCAGTGTCTGAAGGGGGGCTATAGGGATGCTGGGGAGGGACTCTTCATTAGGGACTGTAGTGACAGGACAAGGGGTAATGGGTTCAAACTGAAACAGGGGAAGTTTAGATTGGATATAAGGAGGAAGTTCTGAGGCACTGGAATGGGTTGCCCAGGGAGGTTGTGAATGCTCCATCCCTGGCAGTGTTCAAGGCCAGGTTGGACAGAGCCTTGGGTGCCATGGTTTAGTGTGAGGTGTCCCTGCCCATGGCAGGGGGTTGGAACTGGATGATCTTAAGGTCCTTTCCAACCCAAACTATTCTGTGATTCTTTCTCAGGCTGATGAGCCTGCACCTGTGGGGAACTACAATCAGAGGAAAGAAGAAGAAGAAAAGCTGTTGCTAAAACTCTCTCAGCAGCTGCAGAAGCTTGTTCTTGCCTTGGATCAGGATAACACGACAAAGAAGTCCTCAGTGTAAGTAGCTTAAACAAATACAGTTTGTGCTTCTATGGAATTAGAAGTGTACAATGTGTATAGTTGGAGAGGTCCATGAGAAACAGTTACCTTATCCCCTTTATTACCTTAACATGCAGTTAAGGAAGAAGTGCTCAGGAGATGGCTCTTGTGGGGCTTGTTCTCTTGATGCAGCCATGAACAACTGGCTGGAATTCTCTGAGGGTGTTGGTTCATGGCTGAAATACAGTGTGGCTGTTGAGGGGAGAGGATGCAGTGTGGTCACAGAATCACAGAATCAACCAGGTTGGAAAAGCCCTTCAAGCTCATCCAGTCCAACCATTCCCAGCACTGCCAAGGCCACCACTAACCCATGGCACTGAGGCCTCGTCTCCACGGGCTGTGAACCCTTGCAGGGACGGTGACTGCAGCCCTGCCCTGGGCAGCCTGTTCCAATGCCTGAGCACCCTCTGGGGCAGGAATTGTTCCTCAGCTCCATCTAAACCTGCCCTGGTGCAGCTTGAGGCCGTTTCCTCTTGTCCCATCCCTTGTTCCTTGGGAGCAGAGCCCAGCCCCTCCTGGCTCCATCCTCCTCTCAGGCAGTTGTAGGGAGCCATCAGGTCCCCCCCGAGCCTTCTCTTCTCCACACTGAACCCCCCAGGTCCCTCAGCTGTTCCCCATCACACTTGTGGTCTGTACGCTTAGGAAGGAAACACCACTGGGATTTGGGAGTTTTTTCAGATGAGGACAGAGAGTAAAACACAGGAATGACAATTCTGGATGTGGATAATGGAGAGAAGGCAGTATCTCAAGGATCTACAGTAATTTCAACAAGTTTTGTCTAAATAATAATTGATTTATTTTGGGTAGAGACAAGCACCATCAGAAAGGTCCTCAATCAGAAGATGAAAATGAAGAAGAGGATGAGAGTGAAGATGAAGAAAGTAGTGAGGAGAAAGACAGTGAAGAAGCAGAAGATGATGATGAGGAGGATAAATTGTTGGATGATCCAAACATTAAGGAATGCATCGCGGTTGGGAACTTTGATGCACAGCAGGAAGGGGATCTCACATTCACGGTAAATGTGGCTCTGGGCTGCAGATAGTTGTGTGTTAAGCAATAACTATGATTAAATCTCATGCTTCTGGGATTCAGCCAGTTCCCTGTGGGATCTGGGGAGCAGTGGCTTCGGGAATCCAGTGTCCTTTTGCCACCTCCTGTAGTGGTGGGTCTGCCGTGTGATCTTTGTTGTGAGGAAAAAATAAGCTTTTGTGTTGTTACTTTCAATTGTGCCTGGAGCTGTTTTGAAATACTTGGTTCTTTTTTGTCTCTGTCTCCTTTTGATGGCAAGAAAGGGGAAATCCTCTTCATACATGACAAGAAGGCAGATGGCTGGTGGGTAGCTGAGAACTCGAGAGGGGAGAGAGGCCTTGTCCCTAGAACCTATCTTGCGGTGAGTGTTCTGCAGCCTC